AATTCGCACTTGCAATGCGAAGGGAACTCTTTAAAATGATTTATTTTTGATAAATTGCCAGGGTCTACGCCGTACGCTTGCGCCTCATTTTGCAAATGATTTACACGGAATGACACGGAATTTCATTTCGAAATACGCAATTGCCAAACTAGCTGGGTGGCACGCACATGAATCTCTCAAAGAACACGGACTACTCCAGGCGACAATGTCTGCAATTTATTTGGTAAGCATTGCTGGAGGGTTTTCCTCTAATTAGATCATCAGCATCCATTTGCAGCTGCGGCGATGCTAATAGACTTACTCATAAAGGCAAGCGGGTATATTAGTTTTCAGCGAAAGAAATTTTGCGGTGCGTTTGGCTATTGATTGAAGTTAGGATGCGAAATTGGGCTTTGATATCTTAAGATATCTTAAGATGTTTTGGATAATATGAAATGTGAACTTTATAGAGTTATAGGATCATACGTCTATATAGTTAGATCACCTAAAAATTTTAAATAAATTTTATATTGAGTTTTAGATTGATGAACGAGTATTATGCAGTTGGTAGCGCTCAAGAGCAATAGCTTTGCTTGCTTATCTGAAGATTCTTATCTGAAGATTCTTGACTTGATGAGTAGTTAAGTAATACTTATATGCATATGCATATATACAGCATGTTGGCTAAATCAGTTAACAGGACTTACACAGCGAGAGGCTAGCCATGCACCATTCATCACTTTACGTCTTGGCTGACAAATAATTCATATAATTTAAATGCTAATTAACTATTTATGCAAATAGAAATTCATTTTCCAGACCTTGTCTAGTCTCAGCTCCTTAGCTAATCAAATATACATAAACTAACATTAGATCATTAGCTCATTAAGCTGAGCTTTGGCTGCCGAGTCGATTTGCAAAATTTCATCTGGTTTTTTATGGTTTATTGTTTATTGTTTCATTGATTTATATTAAAGCGATTGAGAATTATGGCTTGAATGCGAAACTGGTTTCGTTTTCCAGAGACTGCCCTGGCAATTTGTCATGCTTTCGCACTTTTGTTGAGCAGTGTAACACGTGAAGTAAGCGCCTGTAAAATGCAATTTGTTTGATATGTTTGAGCTATTCTCCTGAGAATCGGTTTCAACTTTGTTCGACTTTAAATGTGAAATGCAAAAAGGTCAGGTGTGTGTGTGTGTGTGTGTATGAATAGGCAAACACAACTTTATATATATATATAAAATGTTTTATGCGCACTTACTCCCAATTAAACCCAATCAAGTCGAGCAAGGCTGCTCTCTGGAGAGCCTCAACTTTGACTTCGTTAAAATATTTAAATATATTTCTGCAGCTATGAATCATAGGGAAATTTAAGGTCTATATGGTATCATATAAGGCCCAAATTTAAAGCTAAGACCAAGTCGAGGAAGTTCGACTCTATTTCCAGTGCGTGATTGAAATGTAGATAGATTTTATGTTCCATTTAAGCAGCCAAATCGTGGTGTGAAATTGGAGTGATTTGGAGTGATTTGAGTACATGCAGTAGCCACTGTGTCGTGGTGCTGCCTGTCCACTGGCAGCTGTCCATGCCGAGCAACTACAGCTACTTAGTCATATAATTGCCTTGTGCCAGCTCGAAACGTGGGCCACTTATCACGCGCGATAATGGGAGTGTGCGTGAGTGTGTCTAGGCGTGTGTGTGTGTGTGTGTTTGAAAAACCAATTGGAAATTAGAAATCAGCGTCAATCGGTGCGGCAATCAATCGTGACTGTTGTTGTCGAAATGCCGACAAAGGAGCAACGCACGCGCGGGGCAAAGGCCCACAATTCAGGGTAAGGGCTACGATTCTGACTTTGACACCAGCCACGATGTCATCCTAGACAGCCAGCGAGCTATAGCGATAGTCGGAGCTAGAGCCAGAGCCCTAGCCAGGTCCGGGCACTTGAACCACAAAGAGCACCGATTTGTTGATTTGTTTTGAAAAGTGAGTAAATATGTTTCCATTTATGAATGTTTGGAAAATGTGTTCGGTGTGTGCGCTTCGTTGCTTTTTTTCTGCTTTTTGTTTTGTTTGAGCAGCAATCCCATTTTGAAGTGGTCGATAAGATGCCAGGTGCTGATACGTTATCAGCTCAACTGATAGCAGCTCGCACCGTTGATTGGCGGTGGTGGTGGTGGTGCTGGTGGTGTCAGCACTCACTCATAAATGCTGCCACACTATGACGTCTCCAACTTGTCTGCCATCATGCACAAACAATTAAAATGGTTGCAATTTGCTAACAGAATCTTTGCTGCGACTTTGTCCAGGGCTCAGGCTGAAGCAACAAATTTATTGAAAGCAATTTGCATAGAATTGTTCTCTGCTGTGTGACTTTCATCATTTGTTCTCGGATACGATTTTATTTTATTACTTCTGTGTCTGCATGCATTGATGCACAAATTTAAGAAGGATTTCTGTATGGCCAACGCACACACATGTCTCTCTCTCTCTCCCTCTTTGTATCTGTGTGTGTGTGCCACATACTGAAAAGCGACAATTTCATGTCCAATTGCTTTCCAGGTGACATGAAACAACACTTAAGTAAGAGGAAGCAAAGCAGCGTGGCGTGAGGCTCAAGGATGGGCTGATAGCTTGCAACTCCCATTCGTGCAGCTGGTGCTGTTTCTCGTGCCCAACCCACACACACACAGACAAACACATGTTGGTGTGTGCGTGTGGTCCTACCTGATGCCAAGGAGCACTATTATCTGGTAACGCTACAATCTACATTTAAATTGTTTTCAATATAATCTGCATGTTATGTTCACTGGCACAAAAATGAACGAGTTATTGTTTTTTTGAAATGAAAATAGAATTTTAATGTGCTCTCTATGTGTGTGTGTGTGTGTGTGCTTGTGTGTTTCTTAAATGAATTGCAACATCTGCAAAAGTTCACATGGAGCAAAGTGAAAACGTATCTTTAAGTCGCTTTGGGTTTCTGGTCTTGGCGCCATCAAGTGCAGTCAGTGGCCAGTCGTAGCTATTATTACCACGATCTGCCACTTGGATCTCAAGGGTCACTCAGCTCGGGCCTAGCTAAGTAGAGATCCTCGCCAAGACATGTGTCCATATGCATGGCTTGGCCCTCTGTCTCTGTGGCATACATTATAAATGACAGCGCGTTAACACCCCCAGAAAGGAAAACAGTGAAGCCTCGTCTTACAAGAATTCCAACAAAATGGGCTGATCTTTCATAAATTAGAATGCGACCAAGTGCCTGAGGAATTTCAAGTGACTTGCGGCATTCGATTTCATTTCATTTCGAATTGAATTGTTTGTTTTTTGTAACACTCCAAACACACATTTGGTTTCGTATGACGAGCCTTTACTCCGGGGTAGTTCGACGAAAGATCTGTTCACTTTCAAGAAAGTAATTCTAAAATTCTAATAATTCTTTCAATTTATATTATATTTACTTTATATCCGCTTAATCAAACTGTGATTGCTCTACTTAATTACTTGATATTTATGCATGGAATAATTTGATATGGATTATATATAGTTAATTTTCGAAACATATTAATTGGGGTTTGTCCAGCGTGATTTATGTTATTAAAACATTTTCGAAAAGATACAAAAAGAAATTCCTGATGACAGTTTGTTAAAATATTACTAATAAATATAAATAAAAAACGCCATTTGTTTTAATGCATTTGTTAACATGCAGAATTCAGAATAAATTAATTTTATTTCAAACTGGTTTTTTATTTGTTTATATTTTTTGCTATATATAAAATCGTAATCTTAACTTTCATCAGATTTGACAACAAATTTGTTTTTTTTTTTTTAAATATTTATAAAATCCTAAGTGAAAAATCGTAATAAATAAATATTTTATTAACAATTTATTACAGAATTCTATGCATTTAATTTCATTTAATTGTAATTTAATTTAAAATTATATTTTTTGATGCTTAATTAATAAGCGCATTTGACTAGGCAATGAGTTGCTACACACATACATATTCTACATTTATATATATGTTTGTAGCAACAACAACAACAACAACGGTGGCCAGGAGTTACAGAAGAAACTCAAAAATGTGCGAAGCCTTTCGATCGCAGTCCGCCATAAAAATATTTCCAACGTTACACACAAAACAAAACAAAACAGAAAAGAAAAAAAAACGAAGAGGGGAAGCACAAGCACTGGAATATGCTTGGCTTGCGATGACTGCAGCTGCCTTTCCTTCCAGTCGGAGGTGGGCGTTGTCGATAGCAACAGTCATACAGAGCACAACGTACACACACAGCGCTATCTCGCTCGCGCCCATGCACAGTCGAGTCGTGTCGACAGAGACGGCAAATGCGCTTTGCTCTCTGGTTGGAACGACAGCTAACCAGAACATTAATGTGCTCGCTCCCCCAACTACAATTGCCATCTAGCGCTCTCGCTCTCGCGCTCACGCCGTCGACAGCGCGTCGGCCTTGTATGCCCCTTGGCCGGGCAGTCTCTGACATCGGGCAGACCAGTTTGTGTTTAAACGCGAATAGGCATAGGCGCACATCCCAGCGGTGCCTTGTCGACGGACTTCAAGCCCGTACGTTCACAGAGAGAGAGGCCACTGACAGGTTGTGGAACTCGTTTCAGCCGTCGATCGTTGCAATTGCCGTAAATAACAAATTCTCGGTGTGCTTGTGCAATAGACGTAAAACGTTAAGCCTCGACGTGTCCATAAATATATCCAAATCCACTAACTAAGCAAATACAAATTAAGAGCAACCAATAATATGGCCGCCGATCCATGCACAGCAAACAGAACAAGAAACATCTACTAAGCAGCAACACATGTTACTGTGACTAACTAGCGCGACCTTTGGGTCGATGTGTGCAGTCCGTGTCAAAGTGAGCTTCGGGTAGTCGTGACAAATACGTGAATAAATAGTGTCCAGCATCAGAGGACGATTTGTCGGCTGTCCGCAGCAGCTGCCAAGAGCCAAAGTCAATAAAAAATCAACAATAACAACAACAACACGACAACAAAAACATACAAAAGTAAAAGAATAAAACGCAAAGTCACAACAAAACAAACAAAACATTTTCCGGCTCCGGCGACATTAACAGAACTGCTCGACATCGACAATTTGTTTTATCAATTTTCAACAAGGCCAACAACACAGCAACAACAACAACAACAACAATAGCCAACAAACCAACAAACAACAAAAGCGCCCAGAGTGCTTAGCCGCGCTCGCGCCAAGCACGCACGCCACCACCACGAACAGCACCAGCAGCACCCACCATCTCCATATCCACATCCACATCCGCGTCCGCATCCATCTTCAGCTCCACCCAACGCCCAATACCCAACCCCTTGCCAAGTGCTCGCACAGCATCCGCCTGCTCCAGCTTCCATAGTATCCTTGCAGCGCGCCGGCACCCCCCACAGTGAGCACTCACACTCGCGACCTGCCGTTGCCGTTGCCGTTGCCGTAGCCAGTTCCCGTTAGCAGTTCAGCGACAAAGACGAACGCGACAATGGCTGCATATGCGCAGTTTGGATATGGTTACCCGTCGGCAAATCAGGTAAGCAAAACACAAGCGCCAAATGAACTTGAATGAGAATGTAGCCAGAGAGGGCGACTGAGAGAGGGTTGGGTATTGGCAGATGAAACAAGAAATTTGAATAAGAATTTGAATAGATATCAATTTATAATGCTATCAGCTATCAGCTATAATCAGATTTGCTTTTCTGTTATAGTTTTCAGCATAGTTTCGAGTTGGTTCTTGAATATAGAAATTGTATACAAATTAACATTTTTCATACAGAATTTTTTAAATATCTATGAATATATGTTTAATGATAAATTTAAAAAATAATTTTACATATATTTATTTTTAGTTTTCTATCAATATTTAACTATAAGTCAGTTTTTAGCTAGCAAAATATAGAGATGTTAGCTAAAGAGACCAAGTCAAAAGACATATATAAGCAGCTCCTAAATTATTTTGTATAATAAAAACTTAATAATTTAATATTTTATACAAGAAACTACGCTATTTGCCAATGTGAATTAGACTTTGTAGACTTTGAGCAACTAAGCTCAGGACTCATAGTGCAGTCATTAGACTATATACTATAGAAAGTTATCAATAGCTCGTATTAGCTAATGTAGCGAAAGTTCCACTTTCATTTAAGGCAAGTTGAATTTTTTAAATATATTTTCTGTGAACATCAACAAACTAGAAATAGACGTCCATTGAGATAAACTTATATGATGAGCTATGATATAATAAAGAATTTTCTAGTTTCCGAATTTAGAAAATAATTCACAAAATTCACTCAAATTTATCAATTTATTTGATCATTTTTTCAAAGCTTTATTAATCATGAGTGTGACTAGCCAATAAATCTAACCATTCAATCAATTCTAAACAGAGAAATGAAAGCTCGAATCTAGAAGTTGAATGTAAATTAATAGTTAAAAAAAAAATATTTTTCCAATTTATCAAAAAAACAAACTTTTCTGATAAGGTTTATGAGAAAATCTGTTATTTTTATTGCTGCATTGCTGCTAAATGTTGATCTTTTCATAAGAATCCTAAGAAGCCAACAACTCAGTCATTTAATTTAGGCAAAGATTGAGATTAAGTTTGGATTGTGGACAGCTTACCTAACTCTGAAGGAAAACTCTTAGTTATACAATATTATTATTAAAATATAATAAAAGAATTTAGTAATAATTATATAGATTTCAGTGAGTTCAACTGACCAAAAGCTATGATGATAGATATATAAATATATGCAAGTATATAAAGATATATATTGGCACATATAACTTAGTTATATATCTAGTCGCATGTGTTCATAAAGCTATATATATATATTAATATATATATACATTCCTAAACGCCTTTGACGTCGTCGGCTGTGTTTGAAATAAACATAAATTTAAATTTTTGCACCCTGGCCACAGGCAGTGGCTGTGGCAGTGGCTGGCATGAATATTCAAGGAATACGAGTATGTCCAGCTTCTGGACTTTGCTGCACCGTTAATAGACGGCCGCAAGCAAATGTTGCACAATTTAGGACATTGTGCAGCCGTTGCTGCAGCCCTGCCTCCAGACCATAATTACTGCTACAAGCTGGCGAGCTGGGCGGGAGTTGGAGGTAATGTGAAGTTCAGTAATTCAAATTAGTTAGCTGAGGTTTCTCTGCGAGCGCCCAAGTCCGAAGGCAGGACATGATATGGGCCTTACAGTGAGTGTCGTAAATATGCTACACTCCTATACTGCTTGCCCTTGTTGCAGTACTAAATTTATGTGTATGAGAATCGCATAGAGCGCCGTTTATTATAATATGCAAAAGCTGGCAAATGGGCTTTAATTAAAATAATGTATGCTCAGATTATCGACTGTAATTATGTCTGCGGATGTGTGCAAAGTGCGGTCTACTAATGTGAGCCGACGTCACATAGCTGCTGCGTCGCTCTCTCTTTCACTCACCCGCTGGAAGCTCATTTCAGTCGAGTCGAAGTTCTGCTTAAGTTAGACGAGGTTTCGTGGCGGGCTTCAGAAATGGTTTTTATTGTGTAACTTCTTTAGTTTTCAGAGTTGTTAACGATGTAATATAGGAGACTCTTACGTTTATATATTTTAATCTGTTATAATATAAAAGGTAAACTGTTAGCTGTTTGTAAAGGTAAATGTATAAGGATGGCTAGATATATATATTTATAGCGCTGCTTTTAGTTTGATTATGATATGCAAACAATGTTTAGACTTATAAATATTATTTTCAGATAGCCTTAGCAAGGAGAGATGTAATGAGCTTTAAGACTGTTAGTTTATATAATATAAGCTTAAAATAAGATTATTCCTATATATGCATTCAGTTAAAATATTAATGACAATTCTCCAAGACTTGTTCTAAATTAAAAAAAAAATTGTTAAGCTTAACTAAAACATTTTTAGATGCTCCACAAAAATATGACTAGAAAAGTTTGACAAGGCAAAGTAGAACAAACTCAATCTCAATACACAAACTGGGACAGTTGAAGTGTTACTAATTGAAATTGACATATTTTCGTATGAAATATGCATGAACTATATAAAATCTATAAAAACTATATATATACATAGACATATACATATATAGCTATCTTCTTTACTGCGTCTAGGCCACGCATAACTGACCTGGAATTCAAACCCTGTGTCTCATGCCAAGCACAGCTACATAGATGCATAAGTACTTATGTATGTACACATACATACATACATAATATATTTATGTATACACACACACAAACATGCACATTCACATGTGCCAAAAAAAAGAAGAAATCGTATTCATTAAATTAATTTAATTTTAATTTCAACGCCAATTCGGCATCCCAAAAATGACATGAAAATCGCTGACGAATTCAATATATGATATAAACACATACATACACACATGCATGCATATGTGTGTGTGCGTGTGTGAATTTAATCAAGAGGCTGTGTGCATGAACAGAATTGTCAACTTCCTTCATGCGAAGGAGCCGCAGTTCACGCATTTCATGGCAGAATAACTGAAATTCCCAGGCTGCATAGCCATAGTTAGGTCCTGAAACGGACTTACGGACCGATGCGAGAAAAAACTAATATTTTGCAGTATGCATTCCATAATTGATTTATGAATTTTTAATGCAAACATTGAAAGCCACTGGCACGCTGAAAACAAAGAGTTGGCTCCAATGGCAGGAGCTGCGACGACGACGACGACGACGACGTGAAGCAACAACTACTGAAAACTGAAGTTAATTCAATAAAAGGAGCGCAGCAGCAACAGCAACAACAACAGCAACAGCAACAACAACTTATTCGCATTAGCAAAAACACGCATCAGAGCTATGGGCATTCGGATTGGTATTGGCATTGGCAAGGAATGGGAACGGACTTGGGCTTGGGCATGGGCATGGGCTGGCTGGCTGGCTGCACTGCTGCTGGATGAATGTGAGAATATGCCAAATGCCACGACGCACTGGCGTTGCCATTGCCTGGAGTCTGTGTCTGCAGCGCCCAGAACCGAAAAACCAAAACCAAAAACCGAAACCCAATGTTCAGAGCTTCTCAGAGCTCCTGCGCCAGCTTCTGCTCCTTTTAATTTCGCTTATTGTTTGTCATTGCTGTTGCGCCGTTGCCGTTGCCGTTGCCGTTGCCGTTGCCGTTGCCGTTGCCGAGTTGCACTGGCAAGTCGACTGGCGTCAGGCGCAACCTATTGCGGAGCAGCTATCACTTTTTGCAGCAGACTCTTTGTTTAGAGACCGAGCTGCCTCTGCTGTTGTTGTTGTCGTTGTTTGGTAGTGCAAAAACAAAAATCCATAAACGCATCTTCAGCGGTAGCAGCAACAAGAGCGAAACGGCAGCAGCCACAACAATTCACAACACACGCATAAAGCTGCTGCTGCTGCTGCCTCCTTTGTTGCACGCACTGAGCAATTGGCAATTGGAATTGAAATTGGCAAAAAGTTGGGTCTGCTGGCTGGCCTGGCGGCGGGCTGGCCCAGGCGTTTTCGTGAGCTTTAACATAAATCATAAAATTAATAACCATAAAGTGACGGCAGCAGTTTTTCCAGTCCAGGGTGGTCGGGGTATGTGTGCCACAAGGTGGGGCTCTCGCTGCTGCTGTTGTTGTTGTTATTTCTGTCTGCACTTCAAAGGCAACTCAATAAGTAGAACCCGCTCGCTCAAGCAATTACAATTGATGCTTTTCACTTTTCGTTTTGTAGTTGTTGTTGTTGTTGCTGGTTTGTCGATTTGCCTACTTAAAAAGTTTTTGCAATTCGGTTGTTGCAAGCTACGCTGGCTGCGTGGCATTCGATTCTTTGAACTTGCTTCATGCAACCATTCAGCTATTACGCCGCCCACGCCACGCTGCCATTGAGCGGCTCACATTGAGCTATTCCAAATTGCAGTTCTAATGAAGGAAGGCAGACAAACATTAGCCACATGTAGTTCGGGTATTTAAGAGTCTCTGATCTCTAATAATGAGCAATTCGAATCGTTTATTACTGCAAGACTTATGTACCTTTGACTTCTTGATTTACCTTCCTCTTGTTAGATAATATTATCATTATAATTCCATTTATAAATTATATTTATATTTGTATTACTATTATTATTGTCATTGTCATTGTCATTGTCATTGTCATTGTCATTGTCATTGTCATTGTCATTGTCATTGTCATTGTCATTGTCATTGTCATTGTCATTGTCATTGTCATTGTCATTGTCATTGTCATTGTCATTGTCATTGTCATTGTCATTGTCATTGTCATTGCCATTGTCATTGCCATTGTCATTGTCATTGTCATTGTCATTGTCATTGTCATTGTCATTGTCATTGTCATTGTCATTGTCATTGTCATTGTCATTGTCATTGTCATTGTCATTGTCATTGTCATTGTCATTGTCATTGTCATTGTCATTGTCATTGTCATTGTCATTGTCATTGTCATTGTCATTGTCATTGTCATTGTCATTGTCATTGTCATTGTCATTGTCATTGTCATTGTCATTGTCATTGTTATTGTCGTTGCCAATTCCACATAGGAGAATTTGAACATTTCATAAAACTTTTTATTGTTCTACTTAATTAGCTTAATCAAAGCTTTGATTAAGTGTACAAAGTGTGCTTTTAGCACTTCTATGTGGCAGCATAGTAATTTATTTGAATTGCTTCTTGTATTAGTGCCATATCTGTGAGTGTGTGTGTGAACATCCTTCCCTCGACATGGCAGACTTCAGACTTCAAAAGCGGACATGCAGTTCACACCGTTTATCGTAATATTCAAGTCATAAAACAGCGCACTATAAAGCAATATTTAATAGTTGCCAACACTTGGCAACATTTGCAACATTTCCGCATTGTGGTAACTAAAGCCGTCTTTAAGCCAATCCAGTCCCCGCGGGACCATCCAATCCTGTGGCTGTGTGAGTTTGTCTGTCTGTTCGTTGAGCTCACGATAAAGTCGGCTCCCCGTGCTCGCTGCGCCTCCTCGTCCAGTCCTCCACAATGCATCCCAGAGTGGGTGAGTGAGAATCATTAAAAATAAACTGACTTGCGTGCCGATAATAAGCGCTGGCCGGTGGCTGCCTCGCCGGTCCGCGCTCGGCCGGACAGACAGACAGACAGACAGGCAGATAGACAGACGGACGGACGAACGGAGGGACGGCGGGCCTGTTGGCCATTCTCGGGTCCCGGGTCCTGGTCCTCAGTGTCGTTGTCGTCGCTGATATGTGTTTTTTATGGACGACCACAAAAACTGAAATTGATGTTCGAATCGCATATAAAAATAAAGAATAATAAGAAATGAGCGCGCGCAGCGTTTTGTACATTAGCTGTTGACTGAGCGAAAGAGAGGGCCGCACTCCGATAGAGCGAGAGGGCAGCAGGAGGAGGCCAGTCCAGCCACTTGTTGTGGTTTTTTGGATTCGTTGCCCGCTGTCGTCGTCGTTACAGTTGGCCATCGGCCATCGGCCAACGGGCCAACGGGCCAACGGGCCAACTGGCCAGTGGTCATTCATTCAGAATTCATTAGATTTCATTCATGAAAACGCCTTCATTATGCAATAATTTCAAGTCCGGGACAGGAGTTGGAGCTGGGCCCGGTGTGTCCGCACGAAATTGCCCTGCGATTAGATAGCCTGGCAGGAGGTGTTGAAAATCAGCTTGTTTAAGCCGTGAATTACCATTATTATTATTTAAAGCATAAATTTGACTACAGTAGCTCAACGATTGCCCAATTGGGCAACGGTGGCAACAAGTGGCAACAGTAATAACGGCTCTTTAACTTTTTTGCTAATAGTTTAATCACAAGTTCGAACTTCTTTTTCTACAGTTCTGTGAGAGAGTTTTAATTAGAATATTGACAGCTGTGAAGAGGGAATTCAGATGAACTGGATTAGCTTATATGGTTAGGGCAGGCGTCAAGCGCCTGAAGAAATAAATTATTTTACGCTCATTGATCTCTCCCTGCCTGCCGTCTCCTGCTCATACATAGGTACAGAGAAGCCTAGCACTTGCCTTGCCTGGCCTGGCCTGGCCTGGCTGTTGCTCTTGCTCTTGCTCTTGCTGTTGTTGTTTGTTTTGAGTGGTTGAGGGTCTTACAGACAGTCTCTCAAATCGGAGTCGAAGTCGCAGTCGAAGCCGGCGATTCGTTGCGGTTATCGTGGAAGCGCATACCTGAGTGCCTCATTCAATTTCTTTGCCTTTTTGGCTGCGCAATGCCCACACTCAATCGAGCGGGTCGATCGGTCCGCTGATACTTCGGATGTACCCTCTTCAAAGAGTTGCCCGTGCCGAGGCTGCGAGCAGCCGAGTCCATCGGCGTACGAGAGCAAAGACAGCCCCAAAACAGTATCTGAAATCTGACTGTGATAAATTGAAAATTAATGAAGTGAAAATAGATGGAACGGATCGCAAAATGCGCCAAGCCAATAAAATATTTTGACATTTGGAGTTATCGTCTTAATCTGTTTTCTTGATTTCGACCTGAGCTCGAGCTCGAGCTCGGGCCTGGGCTCGGACTCGGGTTCGGCACTCTGCGTAACATACCCTGCGCCTGCTCCTGCTCCTGCCTCTGCCTCTGCATCTGCCTCTGTCTCTATCCCTTGCTCGAATGTCGTCCTTGATCGCATCACCTGTTTTAAGAATCGTACCATTGCAAAACTTTTTTGCCTCTATATATATATAGGTTTTTCGATGAAATAAATTCAGCCCGTTTTCTTTTTTGCTTTTAGTTACTCGGTGGTGCGGCGGCAACCACTGGCGACAGCCAGAGCGGACATGGTGGGGGCTCGGTGCCCTCGCCGCTGTCCGGCACAAACGAGGCCTCTCTCAGTCCCTCGGGCGGCTCAACTGCAACGGGCATCACCGGCCCGGTCAGTCCAGGTGCAATTTCTCAGTCGTCTAACAATGCGGGCCCGACTGCAGCAGCGGCCACGTCGCCGACGGATGCAGATGCAGTCGGCAGCGATGTAACCGGCGCTACAGAAACAGATCCAGCTGTCAGCGGCGGCGGCGGCAGTGCTCTAGATGCCCATGTCCGTGCAGCGAATAGCATGTCCTGCTGCGAAAACGGACGACCGATCATCACGGATCCCGTCTCGGGCCAGACAGTCTGCTCGTGCCAGTACGATTCGGCGCGTCTGACGCTCGGCGGCTACTCTCGCATGGCATTGCCCTCGGCTGGCGTAGGAGTTTACGGCGGCCCGTATCCCTCTAACGAGCAGAACCCCTACCCCAGCATCGGCGTGGACAACTCGGCCTTCTATTCGCCTCTGGTAAGTGCGCTGATGTCTCTGTCTGTGCCTCTGTCTCTGATCTTGATGCCGTTGATTACATTATGTGGCTAATTGGATTTGTGCAGCGGGCATAAGTCCACGCAGAAAGTAAGCCGACAGGTTGCGAGCGCCTCGCAACGATTTTGCCATCCGGTTTTCAACTGCGCTTGGCCATCAACAGTTGTGCTGGAGGCCATCACGATCTGTTGATCTGTCCAGCTGTTGAGCTGTTGAGCTGTTCGACTGTTTAACTGTCGCTCTGGCTACTCCAGTAGGCAATTGCTGGAAGCTTACAAGCATTTTATCGGCTTAGCCGACTCAATGAAGCTCTTCAACGACTGATTAACTATTTGAATGTGTGTAAATTGCTTCACTTTCAGAGTAATCCCTACGGCATGAAGGATACCAGCTCGGGCACCGATATGAACGCTTGGACCTCAGCTGGCCTGCAATCAACTAGTGGCTATTACTCCTACGATCCCACTCTGGCCGCTTACGGGTGAGTCTCTAATCTGCGATATGCCGATACACAACGCAAATACAAACGGCTAAGAAAGTTAAGCGAGTTTAAAATGTTTTCATGGCCTGGCGACCAAAAGTTTTCGTGCGCCGTCTGCTGAGTTTTTATCACCAGCAAAAGGTTTGAGCAAGTGGCATGGGGCAAGGGGCAGGTGGCTGGGGGCAAGGGGCACGGGGCGTGTGGCGTGTGGCAAGTGGCAAGTGGCCCAGGTCCGGGCTTAAACTGTGTGGCAACGCGCGTAGACAATCTGCCGGGATATCGTGTTTCTAGCCATGCGACCCTGCCCTAGCCCACAGCCAAAGCCGCGATGCTTTTAAAAAATATAGTAAACTCAATAAGTTTATGGCTGGAAGGGACGCTCTGTTGATTGTACGGCGAGCTGGGCGGAAGGAAGTTACAAATGCACAGATTAAAATTCCCACAGCGTTTCCCCCTCGCGGTTTTCTCATTTTCTCTTTTATTGTGCACAATTTTGTGAATCGAAAGTGCAACACGTACTCGGACCGAAAACGAAATTTGAGCAAAGTGTTTAAAAAAAAAAGAATGCTTAAAGCATCTTAGCCACAGAGTTATGCGACTATTAAAGACTACAAATAGTTTTGATATTAAAAATCAGGGCATTAATTTTATAGCTGAACATAGAACGGGATTAGTAGAAGGATTAATGAAGCTTAGCATAAGCATTTAGTTAGCATTTATATCTGTGATTGATATATGTAATCTCAGTTTGATATAAGTCAGGTATTCGTATAAGGCAAGGCATACTCCAGTCACATTTCTGATTCCTATCTATAGCTCTTTAGCTGTCAGCTCCCTTCGCCACCGTCTCCAAAAATAAACCCATAAAATAATAATTTAATTTAAATTCTGGTTTGTTGACTTCATTTTATTTTTTTTAACTTCCGAATAAGGCATCAAAGCTAAAGATCATATTATACGCTTTTTAAACACCTTTTAATTGCGCCGTCCCATTGTGCGCATCGTGGACTTTGTATTTGCATTTGGGTTGGCTTTAAAGGCTGGATGGGATTGAGTGTGATTGTTTGAGCGCAGGGTGTGGCCAAGCCAACACTGTTAATTGCCTTGGGCGCTGATAAGAGTGAGGTCTGATTGACCGGAAGAGCCAAGCACTCGACTGTTTGCTTCATATCGTTGCGTTGTTCTGCGTTCTGTTTGCTTAGTGTTTGTAATATCGGCGCACTATATAGCAGCTGTTATCCATAATGAGAAACATTCACATTGCAGCTACGGGCCAAACTATGATCTCGCCTCGCGCCGCAAGAATGCCACGCGTGAATCGACGGCGACGCTGAAGGCGTGGCTGAGCGAACACAAGAAGAATCCATATCCGACGAAGGGCGAGAAAATTATGCTGGCCATCATCACGAAGATGACGCTAACCCAGGTCTCGACATGGTTTGCGAATGCGCGACGCCGTCTGAAAAAGGAGAATAAAATGACGTGGGAACCAAAAAACAAGACGGAAGACGATGACGACGGACTGCTCTCGGATGATGAGAAGGAGAAGGAGCCCGGCGAGGCCACCAAGCTGCAAGCCAGCGACACATTTGGTAAGCTGTCACTTAATTTGTGCCCGCCCCCTCCCCTCCCCTCCCCTGCCCAGATGTCATTGACCCAGGCAAGTGGCTAAATCCGAATGTTTTTTATCCATAGAATGCGCGGGGGCTTATATCATTTTAAGGTCGTATTTGTATTGTTTTTCGAAAGCGCCCTCACTCCCCCGGCCACCCGGCTCTTTCTATCGATTTGAATGGCTGTCGCTTTCTGACCCTTCATGCCATTTGGCCCCACAGCCCCCAGCCCCAAGCTACAGATTTGTGGCAGCGGCCTTTTAAGTACAATTTATGTGGCGAAACGAATGTTATGCAATCTTTGTCTTCTTGCCCCAGCGCTCGTCCATGCCTCCGTCCCTCCGTCTGCTTGTCCGTTTATTTGTCTGACTGCTTAGGCGACATCCTCCCCGGAAGTTGACAGCACATTGTTGGCAAAGTGGCCTTGCGCCCGCACTTGGCTCTCCATATGCATGGAAAGCGGCCTTGCTCGACTTGGCGACTGACTTGGCTTGCCTCCTCATGGACGGAGTTGGCGGAAGCCGGAGCATTTTGTTGCTGAAAGCTTTCTGTGACTCTGCTGCGCGCGAGGGTTGCACGCATCAACGCCCACCAACAATTTCAAGGGTTTTTGCCCGCGCCTGCCAAGGACTGCCAAACGCCCAGTTGCCAGTTGCCAGTTGCCAGTTGCCAGCTGTTAGCATAGCAAGTGGCAAGTGGCAAGTGGCAAATGCCAAGTGGCAAGTTTGTAGTCTTCTTAGAACTTGTCTACTTCCGCTCTTGACTTGGAAATTAATTTAATTTAATTTTTGTCTCCGTTGTGCCAACTCAACTTTAATCGCCAGATCCCGGCAATCAGCGTATCAAGTCCGAGCTGACCAAGACAGAGAAGGATCTGGACATCGAGGAGAAGCTGGAGCGGGAGCCGCAAAACTTGCTGGCCATCCGTGGCCTGCCACCGTATGGTGCGCCCAATTTCAATGCCCATCCGGCGCACTCCTACAATCCCTACGCACATGCCCACGCCCACGCTCACGCCCATGCACACCAGCAACATCAGCAGCAGCAGCAGCAGCAGCAGCAACAGCAGCAGCAGCAGCAGCAGCAACAGCAGCAGCAGCAGCAGCATCAGCAGCAGCAGCAGGAGCAACAACAACAGCATCAGCAACAGCAGACGGCAGCCGTTTATTACAATCCTGGCTACGTGCAGGGCCATGGCCAGGAGGGAGTTGTGGCTGCCAGTGAATACGCCCTTCAAAAAAACCAGCTGAGCAGAGACTGTGGCATACCGGTGCCGGCGAGCAAGCCCAAAATCTGGAGTGTGGCCGACACAGTCGCCTGCAAGACACCACCGCCTACGGCATATCTCGGCCAGAACTTCTATCCACAGCAGCAGCAGCAGCTGCAGCAGGCACAGTCGAGCCTGGTGCCAGATTCACCGACGACCCAGCTGCATCCGGAGCAATCGCTGACGCTGATGGGGCCGCAAGTCGAGCTCGGTTCGCCGCTGAGTATGATGAGCAGCTACGCCGCCGCATCGCCATATTCGCGGATACCTACGGTGTACACCGAGGCCATGGGCATGCATACCAAGACGCCTATCAATATGCATCGCGACCTATCCCAGCTCCAGGTGCATTCCAGCTCGAGCCAGGCGCCCTATCTGCCCCATTCGCAGCAGCAGAGGGTGGGGTTTTCCGAGATACAGCCCGATACACCGCCGCAGACGCCGCCAAATATGAAGCTGATCAGTCACAGCAACAACAGCACCAGCAACAACAACACCAGCAACAGCAGCAGCAGCAACAGCAGCAACAACAGCAACAGCAACAGCAGCTCTACGCTGCATTCCGGTCCCGGCCCGGTACCAATAGCATCCATGGGTTCAATGCTTTACAATAACAACATCTACAACAGTAGCACTAGCTATCTGACGAGCAGTCGATCCAACTCCTAATTGGATAAGGCTATGGATGGCGGAGGGGGATGGCCTTAATAGATGCCGATACCAAATATTTTAGTAACCAGGCCCAAGTGGACAAGTGCAAATATCGCCGGCAATCGTTAAGCGTTAGCGATAGCGATAGCGATAACGATAACGATAACGATAACGATACCACACTAATTATTTTGCAATAAATGTAGCTTAAGCATGGCAATAAAAAGTTTATTTCCTACCATATCGTAAATTATTTCACTTTATAACTTTAATTAGCATATTCACACTCATCAATTTAAGCAGCCAGACTACCCGGACGACAGACAACAGTTTGTCATGCAGTGGGATTTGTTTGACTCATTCATTCAGTCCCCGCCATCTCCCCTCGTTTTGGGTTTAATGACTCGAACATGCTGACAGTACACGGCTCCAAGACGACTTGGAACATTTCTCAGCTCATTCAGACATAAGTTGAGCTCTCCCTCCCTCTCCCCCCTCCCTCTCACTCTCTCTTTCTCTTGTTCTGTATATAAAGTTGTTTATACAGTTATTTAATTACTACCTTTACGTATAAGCACGCATTCATATGCGATAATATCTTTAAGAGAGAACCTACAACTATTTAAGTTAGAAATGCGCAAAAATATCGGAAACACTATAAAACTAATTAACTTGTAATATGGATAAAAGAGTGCTTGAGCTGATTTATTTAATAGAAGGAAATGTCATTTTTGATAGCCTCAAATAAAAAACAAACCTTGATAGCCAGTGTTTTCTGTGATATATCCATAAAAACAACTCGAGAGTGGGAAAACCATTAAAATGTATTCAAATCATTTGCACTTACCATGTAAATATGTGCATCTGTATTCACAATTGATGTAAGCACATGCGTACTATGATGTATGGCTTCACAAACACACTTGTATAATCACTTCTTCTTGCTAGCTAATTCCCTTAGTTAACCTTAAGCCTAAGCTGTAAATACATATACATAAACGTACATATACATACATATATATAAATATATAACTATGTAGGTCTGAAAATGTAATACAATTTTTAAAAAAATAATAATAATAATACAAAATAAGTTTGTAAACTTGCACTATATATAATTAAAATTAAATAAAATAAAATAAAGATCATTCTTGATTCAAGTTTTTAATGGGCAAGATTATCGATATAGGTCAGATATATGTCAGGGAAGCTCTTGTTAAAATTTTGCAATTTCTTTGACGATACAAAGATACATTCATATACATATACATATTCATCTCAAGCTGAATGGGAAACATTTCTTCAATTACAAAGAGGTTAAAGGTCAAGTCTGCAGTAAAATTAAATTTTCTGTATGTATGAATGTATGAATGTATGAATGTATGAATGTATGAATGTATGAATGTATGAATGTATGAATGTATGAATGTATGAATGTATGAATGTATGAATGTATGAATGTATGAATGTATGAATGTATGAATGTATGAATGTATGAATGTATGAATGTATGAATGTATGAATGTATGAATGTATGAATGTATGAATGTATGAATGCATGAATGTATGAATGTATGAATGTATGAATGTATAAGTGTATGAATGTATGAATGTATGAATGTATGAATAGTATGAATGTATGAATGTATGAATGTATGAATGTATGAATGTATGAATGTATGAATGTATGAATGTATGAATGTATGAATGTATGAATGTATGAATGTATGAATGTATGAATGTATGAATGTATGAATGTATGAATGTATATGAATGTATGAATGTATGAATGTATGAATGTATGAATGTATGAATGTATGAATGTATGAATGTATGAATGTATGAATGTATGAATTGTATGAATGTATGAATGTATGAATGTATGAATGTATGAATGTATGAATGTATGAAATGAATGTATGAATGTATGAATGTATGAATGTATGAATGTATGAATGTATGAATGTATGAATGTATGAATGTCTGAATGTATGAATGTATGAATGTATGAATGTATGAATGTATGAATGTATGAATGTATGAATGTATGAATGTATGAATGTATGAATGTATGAATGTATGAATGTATGAATGTATGAATGTATGAATGTATGAATGTATGAATGTATGAATGTATGAATGTATGAATGTATGAATGTATGAATGTATGAATGTATGAATGTATGAATGTATGAATGTATGAATGTATGAATGTATGAATGTATGAATGTATGAATGTATGAATGTATGAATGTATGAATGTATGAATGTATGAATGTATGAATGTATGAATGTATGAATGTATGAATGTATGAATGTATGAATGTATGAATGTATGAATGTATGAATGTATGAATGTATGAATGTATGAATGTATGAATGTATGAATGTATGAATGTATGAATGTATGAATGTATGAATGTATGAATGTAATGTATGAATGTATGAATGTATGAATGTATAATGTATAATGTATGAATGTATGAATGTATGAATGTATGAATGTATGAATGTATGAATGTATGAATGTATGAATGTATGAATGTATGAATGTATGAATGTATGAATGTATGAATGTATGAATGTATGAATGTATGAATGTATGAATGTATTAATGTATGAATGTATGAATGTATGAATGTATGAATGTATGAATGTATGAATGTATGAATGTATGAATGTATGAATGTATGAATGTATGAATGTATGAATGTATGAATGTATGAATGTATGAATGTATGAATGTATGAATGTATGAATGTATGAATGTATGAATGTATGAATGTATGAATGTATGAATGTATGAATGTATGAATGTATGAATGTATTAATGTATGAATGTATGAATGTATGAATGTATGAATGTATGAATGTATGAATGTATGAATGTATGAATGTATGAATGTATGAATGTATGAATGTATGAATGTATGAATGTATGAATGTATGAATGTATGAATGTATGAATGTATGAATGTATGAATGTATGAATGTATGAATGTATGAATGTATGAATGTATGAATGTATGAATGTGTGAATGTACGTATCTGCGAATGTTTGCTTGCATATACACATATGTGTTATGTATGAATGTGTTTTAGTAGTTTTGCATATATGTGTGGGTGTAGAAATATTTAAGCGAGAAATCGTGTCAGGCCTTAAACTGCGTATTAGACATTATGCTTTTCTGTGTGATTCTCAAGAATTCGAAGAAGACATAGCCGTCTACCTCATCATGCATTCATTATCATCTAGTCAACTAAGTATTTAAATATATTTCTGAATTAATGGAAATGTAACTTAGGTTGCTTCTAAGCTCACTATGAGTCATAAATGGTTGATTGGAATTAACTGAAAGGGAATAGGAACTGCATACACAGCTTTGAAGTACATGTGAAATATCCATGGATAATTGGAGCATTAAGAAGTAACCCTTACCTGTTAGAAATTATTATCTGCATTGTACTGAAAGAACTTATAAATGATATTTGGCTACTCTTTTCGAAACGCTCGCGCAGGTCTGTACAGGTATCAGGTATGTCAAAGCGGATTATACAGGTATTGTTATGATTGTGGTATGTAACTACGAACACGTTTCCTTTTATTTATTTATTTTTGGGAACGCCGATAATTCCATTTTGTCATCGACGATTTATGGGTTTTCTCTACATATGTGACACGCGTCACATGTGTATCGCATTCTGGACATGACTGAGTGGTTTCTCTCTGATCTCTCTCTCTATGCTTTGCTCCGAAATATTGGATTGGATAGGATTGAGAAATGTGGCTAATGCGACCACACCCAACTGCACGGCAATCAATTTAAGCCCTATAACCCCACAGGCTATCGACAATGATAGAAATTGTGATTTCATTTCCAAGAGAGCTCAGAAATAAATTTAATTCATTTGAAGCACTTACCAAGAAGCTGAATATTGTTTCCAGCCTAGACGATCTCGATGAGAGTGAGAGATGCAGATAGGGTTAGGGAATGTCGGAGACAGGTGAGGCCTAAGGTAAAGGAGTGTGAAATATATTTTTAATATATTAAATATTTAATTAAGGAAACATATTGTTCCCTTTACGGTTTCATTAAAGCCCATTTGCGCCTGCTCGCATCGTTAGATAAATTTCAAAAATTTCAAATTAGCTGTCTGAATTATGGTAGCATCTGCATTCAATTGCACTCTTTTGCAGAGTGCAGCAGTCGGTCTCTGTATGTGAGTGTGTGTGTGCACTGACCATGCCCTAATCAACCCCACATAAACATATATAAGCTCCACTGTTGCATTGGCTTTTGTCTGTTTTGGCTTTTGCAATTTCATCCACGCAGAGTGGAAAATGTCAACATTAATTTTGTCTTTTATTTGTGCGAATCGGGCCTGGCCACATTTTAAATTAACCCGAAACATGTTTAGGGGTTTTCCGCACAATTGCCTCAACCGTTGAGGCAGCCGTAACCATGTGGCATAATGGGCTATGCGAATGTTGCGGCACCTGACGCCCCTCGCTGTGCCCGTTCATAACGCAAAAAAGGGTATATTTGTTTTATGCAAAGGAACTTCAAATTTGCTACACTTATAGTCGTGCATACTCGCAACTGTTAGAGTGTTAATACTGAGGGCGTGGCAAATAAGCCCCAAATGTCTGGGGCTTACAGGTATTCCTTGTAGTAGGAGTAGCAGTGGCAATTGGCGATTGTCTTCATGGATATTCAAATCGATTTATTTTCATAGTTCTAGAAGTTGCATTATCTAGCTTATAATACATTTTGCTGTTTTGGGATCGTGAACGAGTAGCATGCAGTCAATCGCGCTCGACTGCAACGTTCTGTATTGCTTATGCTATGCAACGAGCCTTCAATGAGGACAGAATTCTGCTGCAGACAGAAAAATTTGACCAATACGCTGTAAATTTATATGTCTATAATTATATATATATATACATATATATATATTTATATATATAAATAACATGTAACATTTATATAAATAAAACTTATAACTGTAAACTATTTCTATTGTATAAAAATATAATTATAATTACAATGAAGCGCGATCCAACTAGTAGCTGCAATTGAGGCATGCATAAATGATATATAGGATATATAATCTATATATATGGGAATTAGATGGAATAGGTTAACTTTTAAATAGAGTTTATATATTTTATATTTTTCTAAAATTATTTTAAAAATTCTCAAAATTTATTATAAATTAGTTTCTACAGAAACACACAATCTGAGTTGAAATTTGGCAATCATAAACTGATTAGATAGAGAGCAGGTAACAGCAACAATTAAAGATTGTTATTTATTGTAATGAGTATATATGTAAAGATATATCAAATTTTCATATAACATAAGTTGTATGATTATGATAGAATTTTTAATAAGTCAAAGTCTTTAGCAGCTTCTGAAAGTATTTTCCCCTTAGAAACTTTAATTCTGATGCTGAAGGTTTACCTGAATGAATTTATACATATTTACCTATGTTTATATATAGCATATGCACGTGTAAATAGTTCTCTAAAAATGTAAAGCAATTCTTATACAAAAAAAAAACAGACAGAGTTTTTAACACAACCGCAGTTGGGCAACGGCTAGCGGATAGCGAATAGTGGTCTTGGTTTTGGGTTGGCAATCCGTATCCGAAACAGGTCCACAGGGTCCGGACGCACACGTGGTACATTATTTGGCTACAAAATGGCCAAAACAACAAACCGCTATAATTTACCATATTTTATGGCTGCGCTGTGGCAATAAAATCGCCAACAAGCGCTATAACTCATTCGAGAGCGGGCCGCAGCAGAAGCTGCCCCCGGCGCACGTTACACCACGGAGGACGTTGCTCGGGCATGGTTATGTTTTGCGTACATTCGCGGTTGTATATGAGTCTGTGTGTGTGTGTGTACGGGTGTGTGTGTGATGGGCGTATGAATGGCTGCGCTGATAGCCGCCGCACTATTGGCT